TTAGGAGTTCCTATCACTGGCAAGCGAGTTCAAACTTCGTGAAACGGCCTTCAAAGCTGCATGAATGTCAAGAAGCCAACCTCTGGACCCCAGTCCTGCAGTGAGGGAGGGAGGGAACGAACGAGCGAGGGAGGGAGGAGGAAGAGGGAGGGAGGACGAGGTTTGGGGGTAGGAAGAGTAGGAGGTTTGGAAGTTTGGGTGCTTGGGGGAGACAGGAGAGGGGAGGGACTTGGGAGGGGGCAGGTGGGAAGAGGGAGGAGGGAGGAAGGAGGAGGGGGAGGGAGGAGGGAGAAAAGAAGACGGAACATGAGGAGGAGAAGGCGGAGGAGGAGGAGGAGGCGGAGGAGGAGCAGGAGGCAGGGGAGGAAGAGAAGGAGGAAGAGGACGACGCGGACCCGTGTAAACTCAAGACCCGTGAACGATTTTGTAATATACCCTCCATCCAATTCATCTTCGCAGGTCCCTACAAGAATTTGTGTTCACTGCAGGACGTGCCCCATTGAAAGACAGCCGGCTGAGAACCCCCAATCGTGCCCAAGCACAGTTCCTGGGATTTTCATGCCGCGAATCAGCGTGACTGTTGCGCTTGACAGCCCCGCAGCGTGCCAGCGACTTGTTTTTGGGATGTCAACACCGCGGCCCAACATGACCGTTGCGTCCTGACAATCCAAAGCCAGATCAGAACACCATTCCTGGTACTGTAGCTGTACGACTTTTCGAAACCGTCGCAAACTTTAAAACGAATGTGCTCGGCGCTGAAGCGGGCCACGTTTCGAATAGGAGCAGCCCTCCATCCGTGAAGCTGTCGCAAACTGGTCTGGCGAATGGGCGCGGCGCTCAGGGTAGAACAGCATTTTGAAACCCACCTGCCATCCATTCTTGAAGCGGGTGCATACCTTCGGAAACGAATCTGCGCGGCGCTTACGCGAGAGCACATCTTGAACACGGCCTCTGCCCTCCACCCTTGCCACTGTGGCAATCTTCTCACGCCGAATCTGCGCGGCGCTGAGGCAAGAACCATATTTTGAAAACCGCCCGCCCTCCATTAGCGAACACATGCCGCATTCATCCGTCAACGCCTCCCCCTCCCCCCAATGTTCAAAGTTGGCGGTGGGTCTGATGAGATGCACTTCGACCGCAGTCTCCCCCGCGCGTGCCAACATTGAGTTTGGGGGGGAGGGGGAGTGTTCAGTGATTGTTTCCCTCTACGTCCGTCAAACTGTTGACGACTTCAGGCTTCAGGACAGTGAGCGGCGAGGCTCTCGGGAGAAACGCCCAGGCCCGCAGTCGACACGCCTGGGGGTGCGACAGGGATACGAGGAACATGGAGGTGGAGTGGAGGAGGGAGGATGGGGGGAGATGGGACTGGGGAGGAGGAGGTGGAGGAGGAGGAGGAGGAGGAGGAGGAGGAGGAGCAGGAGGAGGAGGAGGAGGAGGAGGAGGAGGAGGAGGAGGAGGAGGAGGAGGAGGAAGAAGAAGAAGGAGGAGGGAGGAGGGGAGAGGAGGAGGAGGAGGAGGAGAAGGGAGGAGAGGAGGAGGAGAGGAGGAGGAGGAGGAAGAGGAGGAGGAGGTGGAGGAGGATGATGATGATGAGGACGAGCAGGCGGAGGAGGAGGAGGAGGAGGAGGAGGAGGAGGAGGAGGAGGCTTGAGAGGGTCCTCCATTCTGGCAGGCTGATGGCTCGTTCTGGGCCGCCGGCGACGGGGGGACAGAGGACCCGCTCGTGGGCCTCGCGCGCTCCCACCCGGAAGCCGCCGTCCGCTTCCTGCAAGCGGTGCGGCCCTCCTCCTCGCCTCTTCTCGCGGTGCCGCAGCCGATGGCTCTGTTACGTCGGCCTCCTCCTCCTCCTCCTCCTCGTCCTCCTTCTCGGGCCCCCCTTCTCCTCCTCCTCCTTCTCCTCCTCCTTCTGCTCCTTCTCCTCCTCCTTCTCCTCCTCCTTCTCCTCCTTCTCCTCCTCCTCCTTCTCCTCCTCCTTCTCCTCCTCTTCCTTCTCGGGCCCCCCTCCGCCCGGCCAGCCACGCACTGCGGGCCGAGGCCAACCTCGAGCAGCTCTTAGTGCTGTCCCCCCGCCCTCGCCCTCTCTCCCCCTCTCCCCCCTGCCAAGAGAGGTTCCCGTTCAGTCCATGGAGCCTTGGAGAGGGGCCGGGGAGATATGATGAGGTTGAGGTTGACGTGAAGGTTGAGGTTCATGTTGATGTTGTTGTTGAGGTTGATCCCTGATGGTGTCGACGATGATGATGCTGAGGACGATGATGGAAATGATGATGATGCTCATGGTGGTGATGATGATGATGGTGGTGATGATGATGGTAGTGACAATGATGATGTTGATGATGATACTGATGATGCTGATGGGGATGATGATCATGATCATGATGATGCTGATGATGATGATGGTGGTGGTGGTGGCAGTGGTGATGGTGTTCATGACGAGAATGATGGTGGTAATGATGATGATGGTGACGGTGATACTGACGACGATTACTATAAAAATACGGGGGTTGATGCTGATGCTGATGCTGCTGATGATGCTGATTATGAGGATGCTAATGATGCTGATGATGATGATGACGGTGCTGATGGTGCTGATGGTGCTGATGGTGATGATGATATTGATGTTCATGATTATGATGATGTTGATGATGATGCTGATGATGATGCTGATTATGTTGGTTGTGGTGATGATGATACTGATGATGCTGATGATGATGCTGATGCTGACGATGATGATGATAATGATGCTGCTGCTGCTGATGATGATGATGATGATGGCGGCAGTGATGGCGATGGTGATGGTGATTGTGATCATCATGGTTGATCGGATGATGATGATGATGATGATGATGATGATGATGATGATGATGATGATGATGATCATGATAATGATAATGATGATGCTGCTGATGATGATGATTATGATTATGATGATGATGATGATGATGATGATGATGATGATGAGTATGGTGATAATGATAATGATGAGGATGATGGTGCTGGTGGTGGTGTTGATGATGATGACGATGACCATGGTGATGGTGATGGCGATGACGATGATGATCATTGTATTGTTCTAGATGGTGATGTGGATGATGATGATGATGATGCTTATGATGATGATGCTGCTGATGATAAAGATTATGCTGCTGGTGATGATGGTGATGATGATGTTGATGGTGATGATGCCGATGCGGATGGTGATGCTGATGCTGATTGTGATGCTGCTGCTGATGCTGATGGGGGTGGTGATGATGTTGATGATGTTGATGATTATGCTGCTGCTGCTGATGATAATGATGATGATGATGATGATGATGATGATGATGATGATGATGATGATGATGATGATGATGATGATGAGGGTGAGGATGAGGATGAGGATGAGGATGAGGATCAGGATGAGGATGAGGATGAGGATGCGGATGAGGATGAGGATTAGGAGGAGGAGGAGGAGAAGGAGGTGGAGCAGGAGGAGGAGGAGGAGGAGAGGTATGATGAGGGCACATGTGCTCTTCTTGGTTCCACGATCGCCCAGCAGTAGGCTCTCCGCTCCCACACAGGATAAGACTCTTGCCGAGGTTTCTGGCTGACGAAGCCAGGCTACTGAAGGGTCATGTTGTGAGGCTCGTGCGGGCCTTTGATGTTGTTCTTCCCCTCCTGTGGTACTTCTGCTGGGCCTGCTCGTGGGCCTGCTGCTGCCGGCTCCGATCGTGGCCTTCCTCGGCGTGACCTGGGAGGCTTGCAGGGCTGCAGTGCGGGGCTGAATGGACACACTTCAGCAGGATGCGCATCTCTTGCGGATCACAATGAATCACGGCGTCTGAGAGGAGCGATTCGCGAGGTATGGAATTTAGATGGAGCGTAGTGATGGGTAACGCACAGATAACGCACAGAAGTCATGGATCAGCAGAAGGGCTAGAAGTTGCATTTACGTGTGTGCACACTTCCCGCCTGCTCCCTTGTTCCGGGCTTGGCCCTCCAGGGGGCAGCAGAGCACTGAGGCAGTTGGAAGCTTCTCCACGCCCCCCCTGGGCAGCAGGCAGCCAGCAGCGTGGAGCCATCACCGCCGAGGCACGAAGGGGTGCTCGAGAGTTTGCACACAGAGGTGCTTGGTCCGCTGCATGGGGCTGAACTTCTCGAGCCGGGCAAGAGATTGGCAGTCTTCATTCGGAGCAGCTTTGGAATTCCGGGGACCGGGTTTCTCCTGCGCAGGTCGGCGTTTCCAATGAGAAGCTGCACACAACGTTAAGGAACCAATCGTCTTGAGTTGGCCGTGCTATCTAGTATCCAGTAGCTTTTGCCGACAGCGTGCGCACTTGCGTGTCGAGAGCCTGTGATCAGCACCTGCTACGTTGGATCCATCTCTGCCGCGCCCAGACGAACACATCGTACAACAATGGCAGGCGTTCCTTGCTGGATATGCCTCCAAGAGCAATGCAATCGGTCATGTTGCGTAGGATGCCCTTCCGAGCAGGGCTTGTTTTATGCAGTTCCGGGCAATGGCACACATCCGCGAATCATCCGTCCACCTAGACGACCACCCCGTACGGAGTTCTCTAGCGCTTCGGCGGCTTGCGCTAACCCGTGTCGACGCATTCCGATGCATGCTGTCGTGACGATTTTTTTGTGGCTCTCCGCCTGAAGGGCACGAACCCTCCAACCCGTGCGCTTGCATCTACCTCTAGGCGCGTGGATTGCCACTGCTGGCCTCCTTGCTTCAGAGAAGCAAGAGGCCATACAAATGATTACATACGTTCCAAGATTGCCACGAACTCCAGGACTTTCAAGACTTCGTAGTGCTCCACACGGGCTGCAGAAATGATTGCCGCTAGATGCTCCAGAACTCCTGAAGCCTATCCTGAGTTAGTCGCACCATGCCGTCATTTTCGTCCCTCTGCTTGCTCCCCCAGCTGTTCTGAGAGGCGTGCTCGCAGTGCAACCGGCCGCTCCACGTCTGGGCGGTGGTACACTGCGGCCTGAACCTGCTGCAGGCGCCCGCCCGGATGCACTTTTACGTGAAGCTGCGGCGAAGGCCAGCCGGTCCTTTTTTGCGGAGCTCGCGGGGAACAGTGTGCGTGTGTGTGTGTGTGTGTGTGTGTGTGTGTGTGCGTGTGTTTGTGTGTGTGAGTGTGTGTTTTCCCAGGCCATTCCGCGGTGTTGGGTCCTGGTTGTGAAGCAGCAGCGCCCCGCATCCCCTCCCTCCTTCCTCCTGCCTCTCCCCCCTCCTCCACGTCATCGTCATCATGATCACCATCACCATCATGATCACCATCACCATCATCATTATCATCACCATTATCATCATACTATTCCTCCTCCTCCTCCTCCTCCTCCTCATCATCATCATCATCATCATCGTCGTCATCATTCGAATCATAGACGTCATCACCGTCGTCATCGTTGGAAGCTTCCCTCTGGTCTCATCAGGCGTTGCCAGATCGTATGTATTCCAGGAATCTCACGGCCATGAGGGGGACCTTGTCAGTTTGCAGAAGGAATTCCCCAAGCATCGTTTCTTCTTCAACCCGCACCCGCTGAACACTCCTGGTCATGGGGTCCTGTTGTGTATTCAGAAGCGTGTAACTGGGTGTTTCACCCATTTCCACCATAAAGTTATGGCTCCTGGGAAGATATCTTATGTCCTGGGCTGGGGCTCCTCTGGGATCCTTGGGATTGCGGTGGTCCACCTGCCGAACGTTGATGCCGGCATCGGTCTCTATCGTCAGCAATTGATCCGTCTGCAGTCGACGCTCCTCTCTGCCTCTCTTGCCACGAATCTTATCCTCGGGGACTTTAATTTTGTGTTCAGTGACGAGGGTCGCTTTCAGGTTCTGTCGGGCACGTTCACTCGTGGGGACACTGCTCACGCTAGGGAGTGGAATCAGTGCTTTGGATCGCTCACAGAACTGTACCAGCCTCGCCGCCGCCGCCGCTCCCGAGCCTGGCCCGAGCCGCAGCATATGCAGCAGTCGTCTTTGGATGGCCAGCTACTGGGGGCCAATCCGCCGCCGCCGCCGCCGCCTCCGCCGCCGCCGCCGCCCCCGCCGCCGCCACCGCCGCAGCCGCCGCAGCCGCTGCCCTCGCCGCAGCCGCCGCAGCCGCCGCCGCCGCCGCCAAGTGTACTCCGTATTGTCTTTTTTGACAGGGATGGTGGGGGGAGGCCGCATCGGGTTCTCTGCGCATGCTCCGGATTTGGAGACAGGGTGCGTTGTGTATGTTTTTTTGGTACAAGGGATGGTGGGGGCAGCGTGTGTGTTTGTATGGTTTTTAACAAGTGATGGTGGGGGGTGGGCCCGCATGGACCTGGGTTGGCTCCCAGTCGCCTGGGGGAGGGGGTGTATTTCAAGCTAGGTGCGCTCGCGTCATATCTGACGTCCTACCCCTCCCTCCCATCCCTTACCATGGCGCTGATTTTCTCTATCCGCGGACGCGTGTCGTAGCGGACCTGTGGCTCCGCGCGCGCGTGCGTAGTGGGTGGTGGTGCGCGTGCGTGCGTGCGTGCGTGTGTGCGTGGTGGTGGTGGTGGTGGTGGTGGTGGTGGTGGTGGTGTGGGGCGGCGCGCGGTGGTGGCGGGCGGATGGGCGCGCGAGAAAGAGGCCCGCGCTGGGGCGAGAACGCCATCCTGAACGACGGAGGCCAAACACCGATCCGAAAATGAGGCCCACGCTGCAGCGGGAACACGATTCGGAACGATTCGGGAACAGAAATGAGGCCGGCGCCTCAGCGAGAGCAGCATTTTGAAAAAAAACGCAGGCGAAAACCCGTTTCCCGGGAATCCTGCGTGTAAACAAACAGTACGCGGGGGGGGGGGTCGGATATCTTCGGGACGCCATCAGGGGAAGTGGGAGAGTATTTTCATATTGTGTAATTGTTAATAAGGAACAGTGATAAACCCCTCCCCGAAGGGGAAGGAGGGGTGGAAGAGGGAACTCCCTAAACCACTGACGTCCAGAGGGCTGGTGGGATTGCCCAGCGTGCAAGAGGAGAGACTGAGACAGACAGGGCGGCCGCGGAGGGGGAGGGAGGACAGGGGGCACTCAGTGGCGGAAGACTTCCATCTTGAGTGCGCTGGCGCGGCCAGCCTCGGCAGCGGGGACCGTGTGAGCGGCCGGGCCGCGGCGTCGGTGCATCCACGGGCGCTGACGAGGCCCAGAACGTGGAACGCAAGGGTACGCGCAGTAGAGCCGTCCAGGTGTGGGCCGACAGGGTACTGCAAGTAAGGAAAGCACCGCGGCGCCGCCCAGGTGGACCGGCGGTAATTGACGAAAGGCAATCTAGTTTTCAGATCGCCACTAGCAAAATGCTGTGCCCGCTGGGTGTAGTCCGAGGGCTGCACGAAGCGCAGGGCTCAGGAGCAGCATCACCAGGGGGTCGCTGCCAGCCGCGGCTGTGGCATCGGCGCCAGGTGGCGCGCGGGGGGAGGGAGGGAAACGGCGCGGGGAAGAGGATGGATGAAGACTGGAGGAGGAGGAGGAGGAGCGCCCCGCCTGCGGGGAGGCCCCAGCAGGCGGGGCCTCGGCGCCAGGCGGCCCAGCGCCAGTGCAGAGGCTGCCCGGTGGGCGGCCCTTGCTGTGGCCAGTCTGTGGCCACGCGTGCCGCTCGCCACGCCAGGGGCCAAACTGTGGCCATGAGCTAAGCGGCGGCGGGAGACAAAACTGCGGCCCAGGGCCGAGGGGCAACGTATTGTCTGGTTGGGCAGTGCGTGGCGAGCTGAGGCGCTGGTAGGGGGAGCTGCCGTCAGCAAAACCGTGGCCGAAGCCGTGGGGCCACGCGCTGTCGGGGTGGACTGTATGTGGCCGGTCTAGGAGCACCTCATCGGTGCAGTAACCCTTGTGAAAAGGACTGCGGCCGAAGGCGTTGAAGGCCACGCGCCGTTTGGGTGACAACACATGGCAGGTCCAGGGGCACTTAATCGGTGCAGTAAGCTGCGTGAACAGAGGGTGGCCTTGGGGCGGTGGGGCGAGCACGGGGGCCGTGCTCCACCCGGGGAGGGCAGCGCGCGGCCGCGGGGCACCCGGCGCCACCAGGTGGGGCGAAGCGGGCTGGGCCTGACGTCTGCGCAGGCACGAGCAGTTAGGGGCCGCGCACCTCTGCGGAGGGCAGCGCGAGGCCGCAAGGCCGCACGGACTGCCCGAGGAGGGAGGCGCGTGCCGATAGCCAGGATGCCCGCCGGGTCGACTTCCGCGCTGGCGACGCATGTCGTCTGGGAGGGCAGCCTTGGGAAGCCTGGTGCCAGGCGCTCAGGCGCTAGCTGTGGCCTGGCGTGGCCGTGGTGTCAAGGGCCTTAAGAGGCCGGGTAGGCCCGACAGGTCGGGGCGGCGCGGCCTCGATAGGTCGTTGTGAGGCCAGGTGGGGTCGGTTTGTCTCTTTTCTTTCCCGGGCGGGTAGTTGCCTTTCCCTTTGCCCCGCCCCTTGTCGCGTTGTTGTTCGTTGCGTTGGAGCTGGCGTTCCCAGGCTGCCCACCAGTCCTTCTGGACTCCCCATCGGCCTGCAGACCCTGCGGATGTCGTAGTAGCAGTGGTAGAGGTCGGCGACGAGCTCCCTGCAAAATTCGTCGTACCCCTCGGGGTTGTAAGTGCCTCTCCCTGTGCCCTTGCCATCTCGGCCATCGCAGAGTGCGTTCCATCCTTCGACAGAAAGTGGGGTTGGCCCATGTGTTCTAGCTCGCCCGTCCTGGGGGACTTTCGCGCTCGTCCGTCGCTAGGTCCGGTCATCGCGGCTGGCTCGTTTGCTGTGCCGTCGCTGCGGCGGTCGCTGGGCCGGGGCCCGCCCGCATCCGCCCCGGCGAGGGTACGGGTCGGTGCCCGAAACAACGGGTCACCCCGTCTAGGTACGGGTATGTATGGTGGTTTCGGGAGCCGACCCGGACCCAGGGGGGGTGATGCCCCGAGGGCCCCTTGCCACCCCGTCTGGGTAAGGGTACGGGTATCTTTCGCGCTCGAGTGATCACTGCTGCCTGATCTTCCCGCGGTGGCTGGGTGGCTGGCCGTACTGCGTCTGCTGGGCCAGTGCTGCTGGCAGTCGCCTGCGCGTGGTCGGCTGTATGGGGCTCCGCGCTGGGGTGCGTCTGGGGGTCTTGATCTGGGGCGTCGGCGTTCTGTGGGCTGCCGTCGGGATGGCTTGGCGTGTAGTCGACCTCCACCTCGGCACTTCCACTGGGTGCGTTCTGGCCCAGGAGCAGCGGGGCGGCAGCACGGGCTCCATGGGTAGGGGAGGGCTTGGGCGGTGCTTCCTCGGAGGGCGCGGGCCTGGAGGGCTGTGCTTCCAGCCTCGCGACAGATGCGACGTCTGCTGTCCTGTCGTCTGCCTTTGGGCCGGGGTTCCCCTGGGAGTCCTCTGCCTGGGGCCGGGCTATGGCCGCGGTGGCGCTGCCCTGCGGCAGCTGCCGATACTCGCCTTGGGTTTGGGCGCTCAGTTTGAGTGTCTGGGGCCTTTATGTGGCTTGCACACCACTCACACACGTCTCGTGGCCCCACGGGGAGCTCCACCGACGGCCTCGGCGGCAGGGCTCGCATGGCGTCGCTGCACCCATGCCAGCACACACCTCACACGTTTCGTGGCACCGAAGGCCCCAGTAGCAGGGTTTGTATGACGCCACGGCGCGGCACACCCCTCACTCGTTTCGTGGCCCGAAAAGGAGCCCCACCGAAGGCCCCAGCGGCAGGGTTCGCATGCGTCACCGCGCCCATTCTGGCACACTCTTCTCACGCTGTGTGGCCCCCTTGGGAGCACCACCGAAGGCCCCAGCGTCAGGATTCGTATGGCGCCACCGCGCCCATGTCGGCATACTCCTCACACGTTTCGTGGCACCATTGGGAGCTCTACCGAAGGCCCACTGGCAGGGCCCGCATGGCGCCACCGCGCTAACTTCGGCACACCCCTTACACGTTTCGTGGCACCATGAGGAGTCCCACCGAAGGCCCAAGCCGCAGGGGTCGCAATGCGCCACCGCACCCATGTCGGCACACACACACACACACCTCATACGTTTCGTGGCCCCACAGGGAGCTCCACCGAAGGCCCCAACGGCAGGGCTCGCATGGCGCCACCGCGCTCACCCTGGCACTCTCCTCATACGTTTCGTGGCCCTATAGAGAGCTGCACCGAGGACCCCACTGGCAGGGTGCGCATGGCGCCACCACACCCATTTTGGCAAACCTCTCGTGCGGTTCGTGGCCCCATGCGGAGCTGCCCCTCTTTCCGTCCCACCTGCCTTGCGGTGCTCGCACTCGCATATGGTTGGGTCCTTCGCCAGGAAAGTTGTCTCGGGACTCTGCCTGCAGAGGAGTTTCAGACTGCCAACGCCTCGAGAAACTCAATGCGGAAGCTTTTCTCCGTTCTGGGCATCGGGGGGCCTTTGCTGATGAATGGATGAATGGCAGGGGCTCGATATATACACCACGTCAGCTGGTCGGCCAGGGAGCTCTGTGTATAGACGCTCTAGCTGCCCGACCTGTGGGAGGCTGGAGCGTCAACTCCTTGCCTCCCTGGCCGGCCAAACGACGTGGTGTATACATCAAGCCCCTCCGAATGAAGAGCCGAGTCCCTGGGGAAAAGGCCCAGACCTCCAGGGGACCCCGTATCCAGAAGCTCACGACATCGGATGGGCCTTCTCGGAATTCTCGGAAGTCCCCCCGGCCTTCTGAGAGGTTTTCTAAGCCTTCCTCGAAGACGCAGAAAACTTCTCCGAAGGCCGCAGGGCTTCCGAGAAGCCCCGCCGCCTTCTGAGAGGGCCCTCTCCTTCTCACCTCCCCTCGCTCGCCGCCGATCTTGGGTCCCCAGGAAAAGCCCAGGGCTTGTTGCTCCTCTGCTCCCCCCCGAGATCCGACGTAACCAAAAGTTGCAGCATCATGAAAAATCACGCCCGCAGCCCTAGACCCCACCTCTCTGCGCCATGCTTCGAGCCCGATCGACCTGCGAGGGTCCCGGGGCCCGAAAAGAGTTGAAAATGCCCGTCTCGAAACTGAGACGCCAGGATCTCAGGGTCACCTTTGGTTGACCCAAAAAGGGGTCCAGCCGAAAGGAGGTGGGGCAATATGTTTGGTCAATCGATTTGCGGGGTTGCAATCGATTTGGGGCGTGCAGCACATTCCCAGTTTGCAGATGTTTTGCTGGGTTTTCGCGTGCAGTACATACATTGGCTGCAATACGATACAATGCCATTCTCTGGCGCAATATATTTACAATGCGATTGCCCCACATTTACTGCACCACCCCCTTTCAGCTGGACCCCCCTTGTGTTCAGGAGCGAAAGAAGGACGTACACGTACATGATTCCACGCCGGTTTCGAGAGTACGCATTGCCCGAAAGTTCGTACCACGCGGCAGGTCTCGCAGATCGAGGGGCCGTGTCCATGTACATGGCTGGGCGCGTACGTCCTTTGTGGGCTCCCTATGCGTGTCGACCACATCACCCGACGGCCCAGCCGCGTCCGCCTCTTGTCTTCGTCCCGCCATCGGCGCCGCGCCCGTGCCGCGAGGCCCGACGCCGAGGGCGTGCAGCAGGCTCCAGGGCCACGCTGGGGGGGGGCAGGCTGAAGGGGGATGGTATCGACCCACTCCTCCTCCTCCTCCTCCTCCTCCTCCTCCTCCTCCTCTTCCTGCCCTCCTCCTCCTCCTCCCCCTCCTCCCTCCTCCTCCTCCTCCTCTCCCTCCCTCCTCCTCCTCCTCCCTCCTCCTCCTCCTCCTCCTCTCCTCCTCCTAGTCCTCCTCCTTTTCCTCTAGTCCTCCTCTCTCTCCCTCCCTCCCCCCTCCTCCTCCTCCTCCTCCTCCTCCTCCTCCTCCTCCTCCTCCTCCTCCTCCTAGTCCTCCTCCTCTTCCTCCTAGTCCTCCTCCTCTCCCTCCCTCCTCCTCCTCGTCCTCCTCCTCCTTCTCCTCCTGCTACTCCTCCTCGTCCTTCTCCTCCTAGCGATCATGACCTTAGCTTGCTGCGCCGTCGCCTTTTTAGTGTTGTGCGCCCGCACAGTCGGCTGAGGTCCCTCACGGTCCTCGCCCTGCTGGACAATGACCCGACATGGCGATCGGCCACCGCTCCCATTCTCAGATGGAGTAAGGAGATCTGGCTCAGACAGACAGGCGCTTTCAGCTGGGCTATCCCTCTGCCCACTTTGAAGTCTGCCTGGGCCGCCATCTTTTCTGACCCCAGCTGTAGCTGGAGGAAGGTTGCGGGACCAATCACTGCCATGAGGATGTCTCTGGTCAGATCAGGGTGGAGTATGCCTAATTTCATGACCCTGGTCGACGATTTCGGGAAATCTATCCCCCTTGGGATCTTCTCGCCCGCTCTTGTCGGGTCCCTGGTCCGTGCGGGCTTTCTGAGAGTTTTGGAAAGAGATGCTGCTGCCAGGAGGGGCATCTCTTACCGTCTTTGTTTTGATGTTGTCAAGGAGGCTATCGCGCCCCGCAGTAAGCGTTTCACGGCCCTTCAGAAGGCTAGGATCAGAGCCTTCTCTACGGAGGCCATCTTGACTCGGGCTCGAGCCAGGGCCCTTGGGTACGACATTGATCCGTGTTGTGTCCACTGCGGGGCCAACGATACCATCTTCCATCGGCTTTGGAAATGCCCTCTCCCCGAGGCTGCTTCAGCTCGGCTTGAGGCTTCTGACAGTGAGGTGATAGAGGCCGCTCTGTCAGCTAAGGCGTCTGGAGATGATGATGAGCTGTTGGTCTTTATTTCTGGAGCCTTTCGGCACCCCGCCGACTCCTTCCCTCGGGCTGCTGGTGAGCAAGGTGATGGTCCGACCCTGGTCTGGCACAAGATGCCTGAATTTGACCCTGGTGGGGCCCCCGTCAGCAACAGAGTGTGGGGCTCCTTATTTGTTGCTGGCTCGTGTACCCGTCACGCTGTCAAGGAGCTCTCTCGTGCTGGCTCCTCAGTCTGCATGGTCGACGAGTCGGGAGATCTTGTGGCTGAGCTGGGGGCCCCTGTTTGGGGCCCCTACCCTCAGACCCCTCAGAGCGCTGAATTCAGTGCGTTCACGTGGGCCAATGTTCCGGCGACCCATCCTGCTGAATGCCATGTGTATTCTGATTGCAGCAATGTGGTCCAGACTGCGGGTCTTGCTAAGCAGATTCAGCTCTCGCCCAAGCGCATGTATGCTGGGGCGTTTCTTCAGGTGCATGGACAGGTCTCGGGGATAGCTGCCTGCTCCAAGGTGGCCGCCCACCTGGATGTGGATGCTCCAGGGATTTCTGCCGAGGAGCGTTGGCGCCGCCTCGGCAACTACCATGCGGATGTAGGGGCTAAGTTTGCCGTCCGCCTCCATCCCACGGACGACACTCTTCTGCAGGAGGCCGACCACCTTGTGGCCCTAGCGAGGGCCACCTTGAAGGTTGCTGTGGCTGTGCTCCCTTTATGGCCTCCTGTGGACCTCGATGGGGCCAACAGACTCCCCGTGGTTCTAAACCCGAGGAAGGAGGTGCTTGGGCACGACTGGAGGTCGTGGGGCGGAATCTGGAGGTGCGCTCACTGTTTGAGGGGGAACCGTTCCTTTTCGAAGCCAGCTCCAGGTTCCTGCTCTAGGCCCTCTCTTGTCCACGCTGACTCTCAGGACGCGCTAGGCCATCGGACTGTGGCCTTTCCGTGTTCTGATAACTCTGTTCTCTTTATTTGTCTTAGATGTAAATGCCTCACGTGTGGTGGGCACATTCGTGGACTCAGCAAACAGTGTGTTTCGGTCCCTTCGCGTGCGTGCAAGCAGGGTTGGGATTATCTGTGCAAAGGCCTCCACCCTAGGTATCAGTTGCGTATTGCTGGCGTCACGGTGGACACGGAAGGCCTGATTCAGTGTTTCAACTCTGAGGCCGCACTTGCCGCCCTTGCTGAAGGTACTTCCGAGGTACCTGCGCATGAAGGGCGGCAAGAACCCCAACCGTCGCGACAACACACCCCTTCTTTCCTGGCGAGACGCCGCCAGGATGAGTCGGATAGTTCTGATTGATTTCTGTGGCACAGGGCGGCCTATCTTACTTCCTTGCACGGCCCGATGCGACTGACCCTTTTGGCAGGCATCCGTGCGTAACCCCACATCTGGGGCGAAGACTGAGGTCGTCCTGGCGCTCTCTGCACCAGGGGCTTCGGTCCTCGTCGTCCTTGTGTGGGTGGTCGAGTTTTCCCAGTGGCGAGGGTTCGCCGTCTTGTGTTTTCCTGCACGGCCCGATGCGACTGGCCCTTTTGGCGGGCATCCGTGCTTTACCCCACATCTGGGGCGTGACCGCATGTCGTTCTGGCGCTGGCTGCACCAGGGGCTGCGGGCTCGCCGTCCTTGTGTGGGTGGTCGAATCTTCTCCTTTGCATGCTTTTGTATACTCGTTGTGCGTGCGTCCTTCGTGCAGGCGTGTCAGGCACCCCAATTTTTGGGGAAGGTGCATGCACACCTAGGGTGCGCTCTGTGTACTCCGAGCACGGGGATTCTTCATCCCGGCTGTGGCTCGCCCGATGTTGCTGCGGCCTGGGACTTTGGTTCCTGGCCCCAACATCCTTTTGGCAGGCGTTGGGCGCGCGTCTTCGTGTGTGCGTTCGTTGCATGCCCCTCCGCCTTGCCCCCACCGCCTTTTGCCTCTGGTGTGTGGGTGGAGCTCTGTCTTGCTCGCTGTCCCTCTTGTTCTGCCGAGGGCAGTTGGCGGGAGGGAGCTTCCAGCTGCAACTCTCTGCAGCTGGATGTTTTTTGCGCTGTCAGCTCTGTGCCCTCTGGCACAGCGCGCCTGCCCCATCTCGTAGAGATGTTGTGGCAGGTGTGCGAAGAGCTTTGGCACTTGGACGCAGAGGTTTTCGTCCTCTCGTCGTGCCATTTTCTTGCGCGGTGACCCTGGTGTTTACCTTGGTCAAGGTGCCAGCATCCCCCTCCGCTGCTGGCTCGTTTCCTTGATCAGTCCAAGGTTTCGGAGGCGAGGCGTTGATGTCAAAAAAAATATCCTTCTCCTCCTCCTCCTCCTCCTCCTCCTCCTCCGCTCCCTCCCTTCTCCTCCTCCTCCTCCTCCTCCTCCTTCCTCCTCCTCCTCCTCCTCCTCCTCCTCCTCCTCCTCCCCCCCTCCTCCTCCTCCTCCTCCTCCTCTCCTCCTCCTCCTCCTCCTCCTCCTGCTCCTCCTCCTCCTCTCCCTTTTTCCTCCTCCTCCTGCTCCTCCTCCTCCTCTCCCTTTTTCCTCCTCCTCCTGCTCCTCCTCCTCCTCCTCCTCCTGCTCCTCCTCCCGAGGAATAGGTACGCGTATCGCTACTCTTGCCTCGTTCTCGCCTTCTTGGGGCCTCCTGGGAGGCCCTCGTCGCCACCGCTGGGTTCGCTTCGAAATCCTGTTCAGAACGCATCCTGGGAAAGGTCCAGAGATTGTCGGTATCAGTCATTTTCGGTGTCCCGACAGTCGCCTATAGATCGCCGATAGGGGCCCGATAGGTCCCCCCCCCCCAGGACCGTGCGGTTTCGCTATCGGCGGCATGTCGCCGACCTATCGGCGATGTATCGCCGATTCCTGGTCGAAGTTCCGCCCGTGTCGGCGGCGAGCGAGGGGGGAAATGAGAAGGAGAGGTCCTTTTCAGAAGGTGGAGGGACTGCTCAGAAGCCCTCCGGCCGTCGGAGAAGTTTCCTGCGTCTTCGGGGAAGGCTTAGAAATATTCTCAGCAGGCCAGGGGACTTCCGAGCCTACTGACAAAAGGCCTGCCCCCCCTCACTCTCCCCCCCACGTGGCCTCCCGCACAGAGAGGCCGCACCCTCCTCGACCGCCCCCGGCGCCCTGCCGCACCGCTGTGCAGCCTTCTTTAAGCGGGGCATGTCCCTCTGCAGGAGGCATCTTGAAAGATAGTACAACAACTGTCCTAGGCCGATGTTCCGACTATGTTTGACAGTTTGTGCTTCTTTTGACCGTTTTTGTTTTTCCTCGAAAGTCCGAATGTCA